TGCTGTTTCTATTTTCTTCATTAAATGAAGAAATTTTCTGGTCATCAAGCTGTTTTTCTTTGTTCGATTCATCTAATGAATTTAGATCTACATTTGCCAGCCATTCTGACTCTTCGTCGTCGGATATATGATTCAAATTGTCCGCCATTTGTTTTTTTTTTTACGTAACTACAATCCAATTCTTCGCTTGCGCGATGCGAGAAAACCTGTTTGACCGGTACTACAATAGACGAGTACAAATACCGCGTGATATTTGGCCTCGTCTAGGTGTAGTTGGATAATAAAGACTTTTATTATTATTAAGTCCACCCCCTCCCTCCAACCCTTTATGACCAACGTCGCAAGAACAAGTGCATTGCCCGTTTTTCTGGTCTCTGGCCTTAAAAAAAAAAATTTTCTGTTAATTCGATTCGTTAGTTACTTACCTTGAAATGTGGCGGATGAAGGCGAGACTGATAGATACACAAGTCACTCTTTCTCGCATCTGCAACACGAACAATGACGCACAAAAAGGCAAACTTTTAAAACCGTCCGCAAAAAAAAAAGTTCATTCCACCTCGACCTACTAACTTTGCAAACTCGACTAAATAGCCACATTAATACCAGCTTACTTGGTTTGTCTGGGGACTTGAGAAAGTGAAGCCCGGTAAACGTCCTTCCATCCGGGAAAGTGGGGTCTGCAGGCATGCGGGAATCCATGTATGTACAGAACATGTGAAGGAGTAGCTAGAAACAAAAGGGTCAATTATTTAAAATGAGGAGGTGATTTTTGCGTCAAGGAAAGAGTTGAATTCGAAACATTCTTGATGCAGGTCCTACAGCCCACATACCCAAGTGGTTCAGTTCTCAAAAAGCGGATAAAACCAAGACGCTAGAGAGAAAACTGAGCATCAGCTGCTGGATCAATTTTGATGCCAATTTCCCGCGCAAAAAAAATAAAGTTGAAAATACAGCCAGTGTAACGTTCAGAGACATCTGTCAAAGGAGACAAAGGTTAAGGAAAAAAATCTCATTAATTTCTAGACACAAAGTTACTCAAAAACGCGTAATCTGTAGATCCACTAATTTTTATTGCGCTTCACTGCTTGCTTTTGAAAACCTGAAACCATGATTTTGAGCCGCCATCTTGGTCGCCCCTTGGTAGTTTCAACATTTGCACATACGCACGTAATTAGTCACTGAATGCTCCCGCCCAGAAAAAATGTTTCATCTTACACCTCCCCGATCTTTGACCGTTGTGTTTACAGAACGGAATTCTTATTGTTAACAAACCTGGGAATCAGCTAACAGGTCTTGTTCCCATAATTTGCCTCTGTACTGCCCACCGCAATTCCAACGATACAGGCCCATACAACCACCTTGTGCCAGTTCTACAAAAACAAGAATGTGCGGGATGATTACTTATTCTTTTACCAGAATGGCTTAAAATAACCACACTCTTTTAAAAGTGAGCTTAACTATTATAATACTAACTAAACTATCACAACGGCCAATTAGAATGAAGAAAAAAAAGGAATAAAGAGCTCATGAGAAAAGTGGCGACTAAAACAAACCTGACAAGCGTTGCACGAGGTATTCCTGGTTATTCGAAGCTTCTAGGTATGGAATAATCGCCCGCAACGTAGGAGCCTGGTCGGCTTTAGTAACAGCTACTTGTCTGGCTGCACTGAGACTGATTGCTGAAGAAAATTAAAGCAAGTAAAAATATAAGTGATACTGTATGTTGCTGCGAAACTTCTAGAACTTAGTATACCAGATTGATATTAGTATCTGAGCAATTGCGGACCCCCCCCTCCCCAACCCAACATTAACCCTAACTTGTTCTCAGTTGACTGTTGTCGGTTGGGGGTGGGAGGGGTGGTGGCGCATAACACTCCCTTATTTACCATGTTCGGTGTATAAATTTAGTGCTGAGGATCATTCTATTTCTTTAAGTAAAGAACGAGAGACAAAACCTCCAAAAATAAACGGCTTTCAATAAGGTCAAAACCGCCACTACACATCGTAAACTGAACTCACGCTTAGCTATCGCGCCCAGGCTTGGCAGCCACCCCTTCAATACTTGGTACCAGTCTTTCTTATAATAAGTTTTTTACAAGCAGCCACAGAGTGTCCCCTTAAAAACAGGACCTCAGAGAGTGGAAAGCTGAAGCGCAATGGTTGATTACTCACTTCCAACTTGAAGTTCTGAGCAGCCAATTCTACAGAGAGTCTCATTCACGGCTTCGATCTGCTCCACAAGTCGACACAGTATCGTTTGGCAAAGCCACTGTAAAGAGCAAAATGACATTTTTGGAAATAGAAAATAACGAGAGGAGCATGGACACTAACTTGTAATAAAAAGAAAGTAACGGGTTTGGGCTTGGTTTAGGTTTGTATCAACGACTGCGAAACTCGAGTGCATGGTAACAACAATAAAAAAAAATGTCCACCTTTCGGCAGTTCTCGATCCAGTGATCCAGATCTGTTCTTGTCACAGCGTACCTGGTCCAGATCTGAGATCAAGAAAATGTAAGATTGAAATGAATACACGTCGCATATTTTAATTCCAATAACAACATTGAACTGAAGCAGTTGTTTGTTGTTTGCATTCAGCAGATGCATGGGTGTAATTTTCCAATGAAAGAGGGAAGGGGGGAGAAGTAAAAACTGTTCTCTCGAAAGCAGTATAAGCAATAAGTACATAATCTCAGGAAAAGGTATATTTATAACTGATCATAACATCGTCCTGGCTACGTTCCCTGCTATTTGCGATAAGTGTGTGGGTTCTTTAAGGTCCCTTGCTAACCAGTACAGAGAAGATGCAAGAGATGGGGCCTACGGTTTTTCGTCCTTATCCGAGAAGACTAGAATGTCTAACCATTTGCAGATATCACAGCAAAGGCAGCACATTCTCCTCGGTTATTTTAAGACCGTGAGTGTTGGTTCAGTCTGGGGCTGGAACCCACAACCTTCCCACATGGCACTCTGGCGCTCTACAACGTGAGCTAACCGGGCGGCTTTGATTTTCAAGGAGAAAATTCAATGATTCAATTGCGACCATATTGAATGTACCTCATCAGCTTTGGTGCCTGCATCATCGTCATCTCTTGAAGAGCTAAGGTCAGGAGATCTGTGATGATAACAAAAATACTAGAAATGATGAAAAGTTATCTATACTTTTCTTTTAATAACAAAGCAGTGGTGAGACTGCGGGTAATACAAATGTGAAGCATTTATTTAGTAAAGTTGGTGCTTAAGCTCAGTGACCCACAATGCAACATGAAGTTCCCCTGAAAGGTATGTTGCTTATTCCCTCTAGTTATTATCCCCCAGGTTCCCCTTCAGTCTCCCTGGGTACCCCCCCCTTAAAAAAAAAGCTCAGTGACCCACAATGCAACATGAAGTTCCCCTGAAAAGTATGTTGCTTCTTCCTCCTGGTTATTATCCCCCAGGTTGCCCTTCAGTACCCCTGGGTACCCCCCTTAGAAAAAAAAAAAGAAACACTCAGTGACTCTGCTGGGTGGAGAGAGTCAGTGTGGGAGTCCAGTGTCCTACCCAAGAACACCTCTATACAACTATATAACAACCATGCCTGGGGCTCATTTCTTGAAGGTTCCAGTAACTTAATGGACCCATAGAGCTGCTCTGTTTTCACTTAACTTAGAGGCTTCAAAATTTTGAGAATTACACAATGGAAAGATCAGCTAAAAAAAAAAAATGGACTAATCTTGTTAACTGCTAGAATTTGCAGCTCTATCTTTGAATTTTGATTTTAAAGATATGACTTTGGGCTCGTTTAGTCACCGAGTCTTTCAAGAAACAAGCCCCAGGTCTTGAATCTAGACCTCATAATCTGGAGCCTAAATGCAATATCTGTTAGAAGGGCAACTTTTCTCTCCCCAAGTATCTCAGATCTGTGATTCAAAACAGAGCCACAGAACCCAAGATAAAATTTATGGAAATCTCTCTTTTAAATCACAACAGCTGAGTTGCAGATGCTTTCAGTTTGCTGACCACTACATGAGCGCAGAGGTGGTATTAATAAACAAACTTATAAAATCTACACTTCCCATATGTTGTCGAAATACAAAGAACAAACGCAGCTGCTAATTAGAGAAACGGGGATTGGACAAACAAATCAGGGGTTTGCTATGCTAGACTGTACGGCAAGGAAACACATTTCTGCCTATAAAGCTGCAAAACAGAACCCGTCGATAATATAACCAGAGACTCTACACACCTCCTTGCAATTCTGTATACATTAAGTGGAGGAGTAAAGTCAAGTCGGTAGCCAGACCAGAAAGATTGTCCACGCCCTGGTGCAAGGGTATCTGGTGAGGTAACTAGAAATAGAAGGAAAATTCAAAAGAAAAAATGTCAAACCTTTTAATTTCAGACAGATTGGCATGTTGATTCTCTTAATTCTTTTGAAACAAAGTGAAGTACTCAATAGGTACTGAGAATGATGAAAATTATCAAGGATACACTTACCTCGATGTAATCTTCCCTCTTCTTCTTGTTGTTCTCTGAGATATTGTTCAAGCGAGTTTAAATCTGTCATGTGATCACTAGAGGGAACTAATAAAACCATATTTAACTCTTTCACCTCTAAGAGTGGCTAGCATCTAATTTCTCCTTACAATATCACCCCTGAATCAAACACTAAGGTCACAAGAATATAGGAAATGATCACCAACTAAAGAAACTCTTGATTGTTAAACAAATTCTCCTTGTCAGCACCTTAGGAAATGTATAGAGAACAGTATGGAGAATATACCTTCTTAAATTTTCAATTGAGCACTGAAAGTAATCTAGGATTGCATTTATTTTGGTTCACTTCACTCTGTGGTTGTTCCAGAAAACTCTTTCCAATCTCTTGAACAATCAGTTTTAGGCAGTTTGCTTGTTTTTTTACTTTGAGTTGTCACTGGCTCTGAAAGATATTTTTCCTTCCCTCTGATTGGCTAATGTCACTACTTTGGTTTGGTTTTACAACACACAGTCGAAATGTGCTTTACAAGTATACACAATCAAGGCAGCTAAGTTTTCACAACCAACTACATAATCGAAAAGTGCTTTAATAAAGTTCACACAATTAAGGCAGCAACATTTTCACAATCCAACTAGATAATCAAAAAGTGCTTTAAAAATATACGCAATCAGGGCAGCAAAATTTTTAAAACAAATTAGATAGTTGAAAAGTGCTTTACAAGGACACAAAATCAAGGCAGCAAAATTTTCACAACCAACCATAGATACTCACATGGCGAACGGCCTGGGGATGAATGCCTAGACCTGCAATAAGGAAAAAAAAAACAAATTTACTTACTGTTATTCATTTCATTTCAAGAGACTTATTTCCAATATGTTGTCACCCCTGGTGGCCCCTCAGTAAGTCTTAGGTTACTGAATCCCTGATTTTTGCCAGTCCTTGACAGTCTACAATATTATTATTATTATATTAATATTATATTATTATTATTATTATATTAATTATTATATTATATTATATTATATTATATTATATTAACCACATATTAACAGAATCTGAATCTATTGATTTTTGCCAATCCCGAACAGTTTACAATACCAAATAGTCCACATTTCAACACAGTCACAAACCTTGTATCAGGACTGCTGATTGTCTCATTGTAAAATGAGGGTGTGCCCGAAATAGGAGATCTTGGTGAGCTACTGTTGGACTGAAAGACAGTTATTGCATCTTGTTAAAAGAGGTTATATCAAAACAACACCTACTTTTAGTTTTATCAAAAGACCTGTGCTGCTCTGCCTGCTGTTTTGTTGATAAACATTATCCAAAAATCCTCTTGTTTTAGTATCCCTACTAAACTCTAGCAGGGTTTGTACCATTTTTCAGAAACAAATTTTAAGGAATTTTCTGAGACTTTTCCAGGCTCATATTGATTTTCCCAGGACTCTAAATTTGACCTTTGACCCTTCTATTCAAGATTTCAAAATCAAATCTCCTCCTTGCAGTCTATACGCATTTCTTATAACGTAAATTCTGAAAATTTTATTGCTTGATTTCAGCAAGTTTCCGGGACTATCCAGACCCTGTAGTCTTTTTACAGGACTTTCCAGTACTGGAAAATGTCGAAATAAATTCCAGGAATTTCCAGGTTTTCCAGAACCCGTACGAAGCCTGTCTATTGATAGAAGACCTTGCCCTGGTCATTGAAGGGTATTTAATGGTTGCCATTGGATAAATCACTATCCAGAGGATAGCCCACAATGTTATGTTATCACTCATTCACTAAATGGCAATTTATCTTCTGGACAGTCTAATCTGCCCTTTGAACACCTGGGCCCTGCAAAAGCTCTTGATTTCCTATGCCATATACATCACAAAAATATCTAATTCATAGGATTCATGTTTTCATTCTCAAAATAGTACAACTTTGGCGTCCTTACCCTGGGCGGGGTTCCATGAGGCCGAGGAGGCGTGCTGGTGATGGCGGTGGACATAATCATGGCGGGGGAAGATGTGGTCGCGATGATGGAGGGAGAGACAGCAGATCCCTGACTAGTTGGTGTTTCAGGTGGGGCCAACTTGAATCCTGAGTCTATTGAGTTTAAAACTTGATTGAATTATTGAATGGACCCTGCTCAAAAGTGGCAGATATAAATCAAAATCCTATGAGACCAAAATTTACACTTCAAGAAATGTGTAGAAGCATGTGAACATGCATCCCTCAAGTCAAAATCTTACATAGATTCATTTGACCAAATGTTGTTTCAGAGGAAAAAATTTCATTTAAAATCTCGAAAAATTAATTTTTAATCAGTTGTTTGATTCTAAAGAACGAAGAAACTAACATCGACACTTAAATTTGTGAAGACCCTTTTACTCCCAGGTCCTCCCATTAGTTATTCTCTTTACTGTATTCCATACAATTCTTGTAGAGTTTGTTCAGAGAATTTAGTATTGGATCAACAAATTATCCCCCAATTGATATTTTTCTTTATTCTCTGTCAACACTTGAATGCTTGGTATTGTATTGATATTGTAAGGAGAAATTCTGTCTTGGTCACTCATGGGAGTTAAAGGGTTATGGAGGAAGGAAGCTCCTTAGAGAAAAGGGGGGGGCAGGGTTTAAGATGGAAAGATGTGAGCGACCAAGAAAGAATTTCTCCTTACAATATTGATACAATATCAAGCAGACAAGTGATGAGACAGAAAAAAGAAAATCAGGGGATTATCAATTAATCCTATACCAAATTCTCCATATGAAACATAAGAACTTTATGACAGACAGTAATGAGAATTGCTAATGAGATCTTGGGAGTGAACGGGTTATTAAAGCATTCATTGTATACCTCCAGTCATCCAAATATCTATGAAATGTTGAACAAAAAAAAAAAGGTGACCTGACTTGGATTTCTTTTCTTATTACCAAGCAAAGTGACAAAAACCTTATCCAGTTCTGGCCCACTTTCAATCCTCAAAGGTTATTGATAACAGAATCAGTTCAACTAAAAAAATAATGCTAAGTCAAAACAGTAGATCCAAGCAGTATGAAGATCGACAGAAAATGGACAAGGGGAAAAGTTTTTACTTTCACCTTGTATCAAAGTCATCTGTATAAAGAGTAAAGATATTATTTTCTGCGGAGGGTCCCCTATAGCCCTTTGTAAAACTCATTCATGTAAAAATATTTGGCCTTTTCACACATAGCTTGAATAAAATCCCAAATTCCTTCATGTTCACATGAAATTTGAGACAATCATATTTCACATGAAAATAAACAAACTAAAATTTATGAGTTACTGATCCATTTAAAGTCCATGTCTTGTCAAAACCCTGGTCAAAACCTAATTACAGCTGTTTGAAAACAATACATACATTTTCAAAACTATTAAAAAGCAAGGAATTCTTCATGCAAAACAAAACTGGTTTATGAATCGCATTTCTTGAGGCGGTGATGGTGTGGACGAGGATGAAACTAACAGTATTGTTGACAAGGATGGTAAATGCAATGGCGAAGGTGTCAGGTTAGATTGCAGTGACGTTACTTGTACTGGTAATGGTCCTGGTGGAAGGAAAATCAGTCGTGGGTGGAAAATTTGCAATTTTTGAGGTGGCGTTGGAGAGGTTGAGGGTGAAGCTGACAACGATGGCCACTTTGATCGCTCTTCATTTATCAGTCACATTTAAAGGAAACAAATTAGTTCACATGGAAATAAAAAGATCATACCATCTTTAATCAAAATCCACAACAAAAAAAAAAAAAAATTGCGATTCATGAGAAAAAAAATTGCCCAATCACGCTTTACATAAAAAGTATAGGGGACCCTCTTTGTGTTACTATGTATCTCTATTACTCTGTACCTGTTGATCTAATGCCAAGCAATTTTCTCTGTTCTGATGAGAGTACAACACTGTTCTGTCCCACAACAGGTCTCATATAATGATAAAGGTCCACAATAAAACAAAATGTGAACCATATCGCCAGACCACAAACTATAATATAACAGTTTTGATGTTAGAGCAATTAAACAACAACTGCATAAATTAAATATCATTAAGGAGGTTGGATAAGGTTGCACAGATGATAACATCTGAGACTCAAGACACTTTGGAACTTATTCTGAGCAAAATAAAAGACCGTAGCGAGACGGAACCCACTCGCCTGAAGCCTCATCTTGTTTATTTTTAATGCTTTTCATCTGTTGCCTGTCTTCACACACACACACACACACACACACACACACACACACACACACACAGATGCATCAGGCCTCTGAACAATGTTCAAGAAGCATTAAGATAGATAGTCTGTTTTGATACAAACTGCATCTCTTTGGTAACTTTATAGTAGAGATGCATAGGCTGATGCAAGCTATCAATGTTTGCCCAAGTTTATACAGACAGATGAAAACTGCCATTATATATGGTCTGATATTTAAACAAAAATGTATAAAAATTTATTCGATGCCTAGAACTACCTGTAAACCACACCAAAGGATGTTGAAATTCAAAGTACTCTGCCACAGATCCAAAAATCCTGAAATTTTGAAAATTTGAGACAATTTGTTGAATTGAAAGAAGAGAAAAAAAATATGTGATCAATATTTAACAGGGAATGTGCCAAATGTGCCAATAGATATATATGCTCCTTCAAAATTGGCTCCTGTATTGTGTAGTTGCCCCATCATTTTATGCACCGGTAACCGCTCAAAACAAAAAATTGAAGTAATAGTAATAGTAATCAAAGTTTAATGTCTTTACGCGGGGCATGGTTACCTATAATGCCCGAGCCAGAGGCTCACGTATGAAACGCAAGACAACAACCCACCCATCCCACCCCAGGGGAGGACATCCATCACACAGTAATCTCGTGTGTGGGAAATTAACGTCTCCTACCCCTAACCCTGCAGGAGACGGGACCTCCATTTATTCGTCCCTATCCGAGAAGACTAGAATATCTAACCATTTCTTGATGTTATAGAAAGGCAGCATGTTCTTCTCAATTATTTTAAGACCTTGCGTGTTGGTCGGGCCGGGGCTCGAACCCTTGACCTCCCACACATCAGTCCAGCACTCTATCCATTGAGCTAACCAGGAAAAGCAATAGCCCGCACTTTCTATCACGTTCACTCAAAAATTTTGTAAATCCCTAGCCCTTTGGCATGTGGTTTACAAACTTTTCCCGTACTCTCTCAACATCCCGCGTGAGTTTGTAACGCCAGCAAGTAAACCTGTAGAAAGTGCGGTCTATTGCTTGAAATAGCAACATATAAAACATTTCGCGCTAAAATTAAACTGCGTAGCATACTAGAATTAAGGGTAAGAGCAAAGATGAGGTTGGCATATTTTACTTAACCAGACATGTCCGTACACTTACAACTCGGTGAAAAAAGTTGCGGCTAAAATCACGTTGACGAACACCCATGTGAAGGCGGCATGAGAGCGCCTTGTCAACTGCTTCCGTTGATATGAATGTTCAATAATTGGGCTTTCACTCTTCAATATTCTTCTTTGCATTTTCTTCCCTAATGCGTTTAAAATTACAGCTCGATGTAGATTCGGAAGAGAAATTTCGTTGTCACACGCAGTGAAACCAGCGAATTATGCCGCCATTTTGAATTCTCATTGAAAGCGACACATTGAAGGTTCGTACTTGAACAGAAGGACTAAAGTTCTCTGTCCAGACTCCCTCAGATTGAGTATCTAGGAGGGCTGGGAACTAGGGCTAACTCCCCCAACCTCCAGTCTCCCTGAGTAAGAAAGTGTAAAAAAAGTCATAACCATCTTTCGGTTGTTTGTTCGCTCGATCTCCTTGATTGACAGGAGATGTGTCCGTGGCCAAGTTAGACATCACAAAGCGGTCGAGAGAGAACTATCTATTTAACAATTATTCCACGAGCGCGCTTTGGATATGAGGTGATAGATAGCCAATGTGGCGCGTGGCGCCGAGTTGGCTATAACCAATCCAAAAAGCGCGAGTGGAATAATTGTTTTATTAANTCAGGTGTGTTTGATTCTTTTTCACGCCAAGGAAAATGATCATTGAGGGCAGAATTAAACATCTTCTCCCAAGCATAAACAACATCATCAATATCTTCGCACACAAACGCTGTCTCCCATGGGATCTGCTCTAGTGTTCGCTTGAATTGATCCTCATCAAAAGATTTCATATCACAGCATTATCCACTGATCCAGTTTTTAATAAAGTGAAGTAGCTCGGCAGGCTAAGAAAGCAATCTCTCCTTAGGGGGGAGGGGTTTCAGTTTGCTCACAAGTTAAAAAACGGAGATGGTGCTTGAAGAAAAAGCTCGGTCACCTTTTATCCACTGTTTGTTCCCTGACGTGCACATGGAGATGGTGGAGATTTACTTCCCTTTCATCTTACCCTCCTACAGCTGAGAACTGATAACACAAAAAGTTATACTCCCATTAAAGATTGAACAGAGAAGGGGAGTAGGGTTTATTTCACAATCGGAAAGTCGCAAGTGAAAAACAAAATTTGGTAGAAAGGACCATAAATCCGGACTTGTGTGACGTATGGTTAGGATAAAGGGCAACAACGGAAAGAAAATGGTTTTTGAAGTCTTAATGTGACATTTTATCACATCATGTGATGGCACTGCTTAAAATGGGGACCAAGACTCAATTTCCCTGCCTCATCCTGCAAAACTGTCAAAGATCTACCTCAAATCTGTGGCAGCCATGATAGAAAACCCTGAGGAAAACCTTACCTTGCTTTGATGCAAGATTAGGCCTTTCATTATTTTTAAGAATCTCTTTTTTTTTCCCATAGGTTCCTGTCAAAGTCTTCCTATTTCAGTTTAACCTTACATTCCAATACGTTTGTCCATGCTGCACAAATAATGTACAATGAATCAAAGAATGAAATAAGCTGGGTAAAGACCTTAAAGAACTAAGCAATGCCAAAGCCTTGAAAATGAAAGTTATAAACAATTTACTTAGTAAACAGAATGGTGATATGAATTTTTTATAATACGATATTTTAATGTTTTAATTATTATTAATTTTTAGTACATACACATAAGTATTTTTCTTTTTAATAGGTTTTTAAATTATATGCATCAAATTATTATTACTTTCATTTATGTTAATTTTATCTATTGATTAGATTACTTTATAGAGGGGTCATCAGTTGTACCTAACCTGTTACGTGTTACCCTCTTAAAATAAAGTCATGATCTTATCTATAATATGATTGGATGGGGCAGGTGGGTAATGGGAATATACACACAAAACCGCTGCATAAATATCACGTGATAATTCTTTTATTTTCCTTTCTCAAGAACAACCCTCACACAGGCGGTTGCTTAAATTGTTCTCAACATTATAATTTCTTTTCAAAGTCCACACGGTCCCAAGCATGCAAAACACACTGACCAAGCATGCAAAGTAATGTGGACAACAAGTGTTATCATAGAATGATGCAGCAGAAAGGCACTGTAAAATGAAAGAAGGCTCTTCCAGTTGACTAGGAAACCTATGATCTCCTACAGAGGGCTTAACAAGCCTTACCGACCAGTTTTTTTATTGTTACCTGGCCTCATCAGAGACTTAGTACATCTTTCAATAACAAAGAACTTTCTGTTCTGATCCAAGATGTAATAATCACTATATAAATGAGATCATAGGAGTCCTATACAAAGTTTGGCCTTTTTCATTTCAGCACATTTCAAGTCTCTACTACAATGCATAAACGTCTGGAGCAAAAGATTCTTAAGCATAACATGATCACACAATCAAGCACAACTTCGATTTTGCAACAATTTTCAGGTTGTTTAACACTTGGATTAAAAAGCAATGGACTCCAGGCAAAGTCCCATCAGTAACAGTAACAGCATGAATAATTACAAGAAACTTCAGCAGCATTCTATGAGCTATAACTTTTGCCCCATTGATCTCAGCTTGTAAGCAGCAAATGTCCCTGGTAGATGCCAGCAGCTTTTAGAGCATGTATAAATTGAAACACAAGTCCAAGGACAAAACATGTAACATTTTGGAAGAAGGCGTATATGTAGGAAGGGGAAAGCTTGAGCAACTGTTATATGTTTTCTTACCAATCCATCACACAGTTTGCTCATTGGTTTGGAATAACATAGAATAACATAGAATCCTTTTCGACACGTACTTCAGTGCATCATATGATCTCCTCTTGTTCTGCCTTTCTGAATACAATACCAAGCATGATGGTAGGGCGGGCTCATCAAAGACACAGTGTAATGTTCTGGTATGGGACATTTTTAAGGCTGGGCTCTCTTCTCTGATTACTTTCATGTAGGAGAGTAAGGTTAACAAACCAACAAAGAAACATCCTAAATGGATTTTTCGGCAAATATTGCAAACTAAGTTTTCAACATGAAAAGCTACTTCCAATGTTTCTAGTCATTGCTCAAAAGCCTAACTTAAACTAATGAGCTTAATACAAAGAACTCATCTGCAATTTAAGCAATACTTGCTTGTTCTGTACCACTACTTTTTCAACCCAGCAGGAAGTAAGCTGCACATGTTTCGTAAGAGACATGCATGTCTTGTATCTACATTGTGACTGATCAAAAAAACTGTACTAAAGGGGTTTAATTTATATCAACTACCAAATTGAAGACACCATATTTACATGTAACTATACACATGTACAACGATGATAATTTTTTTAAGAACAATTAACGTAAACATTTGTAATGGATTCTTAAAGTTAATGAAAGTGGTTGGACTGCAAGCCATAGCAATAGGAGTGACTTAGATGTAATGTTCCTCATAACAAAAATACCAAAAGTAGAGATCAAAATTCAGTTCTAAAATGTATTCTGATTGACAAGAGGACGATGATTTGTAACCTGGGATAAAGGTTTAAAAAACAAGTCCTTCAAATTTGTCCCAATGCAGATACAAAGAATGTGTCTTAGGCAGGCAAGTGCTCAAAAGAATGGGGAAATTAGTTTTACTTGTTCAAAGCTAGCAGAGTTAACCCTGCAGCACAGATGCTTCCGACAGTGAATAAGCTCTTCCACATGGTTTGTGATTGTGAAGAGTCAGAGAAGTGAGCAACAAAGCCATCCTGCAAAAAAAAAAAAAAAAAAAAATTAAATAAAACATTACATTTAATCATCAAATTACTTCTGACAACAGATATAATTAGGCCAGATCTAAAAAAAAGCACATGAACTTATTCATAGTCAAAACAGAACTCATCAAGAAAAGAGAGAACTTGCATGTAAGTAAAACTATTTAATGAAAAATAAACATTGCCTTTCTTGTCAAACTGATAATACATGAAAACTAGTTATAGCGTATGCGTTCTCAGCACTATGACAAACTCATGACAGTACAGCCAGCAGTTTATGATAATATTTAGTAATATTTACAAGGGTAACAACCAAACGGAGAGAAAGGAACTCTGTCCCAGAAATCCAAAATTGGAATAAAAGCAATTTGTAAGTTCAAGGCCGTGATGACAACTGCAAAGTTTGTTACAGTGACCATGATGTGGGATCAATGTACTGGACCCTCAAAAAGGTGAACAATCCTTCAATTACAAATATAAATAAAAAAACCAGAGCTCCTTTGCAAGGACATTCACAACACCACTAGGAAAAGCATAGGCAAAAGAGACAAAACATACCTTTACTAATAAACGAGTGTGATCAAATAATAAAATAGCAGTTGAAAAAAATAACAGAGAGAAAAATAATATAGTACACCAGCCAGAAATATTGTGGACACCTTGAAAAAGGTTTAAAATATAGAAACAAATGGGTGGGTAAATATCACCTGACAGGGGAGCAGAGTCCCAAAAGTAGTCTCGGTCTCTTTGGCCATTTTTGGCCCCTCTAGGAATAACGTGACATTTCCAGTTGGCCACTTTTGGCCACTCTAGTAGTGAAAGGGTTAAATCATAATTTTGAAGACATCATGTCTAGTGCAATTATCAACAAGTCTGTCAGATGTGTACCACAGAGATACATGTAAGCAAAAACAAAAGTAGTTTAGGATGACTTTTGCTTGTCATTCTGATCCTCCAAGATGAGCTGTGTTGAGACTGATATTTGTCAGTTGGGGGTAAAGAAAGAGAGAAAAAAAAAAAAAAACTTTGAATAAAAAAAAGTGAGAGCTTTAATCCTAAGAAAATATGAGATATTGGAAAGATATCACAATCTCATTTAAGACTTACAAAATAAAGTGAGAAATAAAATCACAACCCATGAAGAGAGATAAAGCATTATGAATTTGGAGGAGAATTTACAAAACATCTACATAAATTATGCAAAATAACAAAATTTAATTGGGAACTTAAAAAAAAAGTTTACTAGCCAGTATCAAAATACAGAACTACAGCAAATGATATTACCCTGTTTTTAAAAAAAATTATTGATTAGAACACTGCTGAAAAATTAGGATTTTTTACTGTTTTGAAATTGAAAATGACCATTCTAAAAAGCAAAAGAACACCAGTCCTCACGAGGAAGACAAAGTAAATTCTGTTGTTTAATATTTATTTATGGTTCCATTTTGTTTTTTTCATGTAATAAAGTTCAGTTTTAAGCATCTACATATTATGTAACCAGAAATTCAGAATTTCAAATATCTTTACTACAGTTTCGGAGAGAGATAAAAAAATCCAAACCCTGGGGCAATATAATGCATTGTGTAGAAACGCCATAACTGCTAAACAGAATTTTTTTTTTCCGAATAAAAAATACTTCAACCAAAGATCTTTCACTGCATTTAACTTAAAAACTTGTTTTACTTCAAATGATCCCATCAAACAAAGATCTCAAACTGCCCACGAAAACAGAAACATTGTTTATGTCGAGAAAGCTGAGAATCCATACCGATCTGAAATAGTATCCTGCTGTTGGAAGGGAATTATTCATTTCACTTGTTTACTTTACCCAAGCTCTGAAAATTTTGTCCGGGCAGAAATTTTCATGTAGAATTTGCATTAAAATACTTCATGTCAGCATATCGAGACATTAGAGTAAACGAAACATCGACGAAATAAATGAATATCTCACTCATAATCAATGTAAATATAGACTGGAGACTGAAATTTGCATTCAGCAAATTACTACAAGCTAAGGCGTACAGCTGGTAGGTAAGATAAAGAGAAAAATACCAAAAAATAGTTTAAAATAATATAAAATAAAAAAAAAAGGTCAATTAATTTGAAAAAATTTAGAGTCACGACTTACCCAGCCTCCGTTTTCTTTAATCCATGTCAATAAGTTCTCCGCAATAAATGTGGCAGTCCATTCCACGATCTTCTGAACCATTTCTGGCCGTTGCGTTTCCACGAAATGGTGGGCCACGACGCCTCCGAACGCATACAAAGCCACTATTCGGCCCCAATTCGTTTCTTCTTGGAAAATCTCTTTTGCCACACAGACAAACGTACGATGCGCGGAGGCCGGTGTTATATCCAACTTTGTACACACTGATTCGAACAAATCAGGGTACTTTGCCTCCGTATCGGTTGCCAGTTTTCGTAGAGTACTCGTTGATGCGTTGGTTGATTGAGGAGGAATAAGGAAATGTCGATGTAAACCTTGGAGTTTGTTCTGTTCAAATTTGCTCCTTAATCGGAAGGAAATATAGTCCTGAGTCAGTGATAAAGCTTTTTCGATGATAATTTTGTCACAACTTGACATTTCAGAGGTATTGGGCGTAAAAGAAAGGTCCTCGTTGTTCAGCGCAGCTGTCGCTCCGGCCATCTTGAAAAATCGTAGCTAAGGGAAGTGAAAGTAGTCGCAAGCAAAGTGTTGCCTTAGCCCAGCGGTGTTTTTCCGTTCTTCAAAGAATTTTTGATCGAGGTAGATGTAATCCTCACCCTGAAAGAAGAAGAAAACATTTCACTGAACACCGTAAACGGTCGCGTATTTCAACGCTGACGCACTACGTCCGTGAAGTGAATCACAACCAACTGCTCCCGTACAAAAGAAAGAAAACTACCTCTCACAGAAGTCAGACTATGTTAAAAACACATCGTTTCGCACTTGAAACAGCAATTGGTAAAGCAAAAGCAGAACAGGGTTAGAAAGGAGAAGCAAGCCTTGGCGCGGAAGCACTAAAAAAAACTAACACCATCAATCGAGCCTTGCAGTGGCAAAGAATAGTAGCCAAAGAGGAATTTTTCTCTGATGTGCCGCGCGCCATTTGATTGGTCGATTTAACGATTAGTGATTTTTGATTGGCTGTCTTCTAACGACCTGTCATTTGCTTATCCGAGTCATCTTCCGACTATTTTCATCACCGATGAGGTCACTCACGGATATACAGCAGCAGAAGTGACAAATGGCGGAGAAATATGTATTGTTCCCTACGCAATGATTATTAAAAGCTAAAAAGTAAAGGTAAATGCTCTCCTTTAAAGCGTGAATTTCACGGAAATACCTAACAAAGAAATTATCTAAATTGCTGATTGAGATTCACAGACATAACGAATCGAAACAGGAACAGAAAACTGCTTACTTCATCAAAAATAAATATGCCTAATAAAGGAAACGATTATCATTGACGCTGTTAAAGGGAAAGAAAAAAATGGCTCTTGGCCCATGTCGCGCAGTAGAGAATAAATTTTTATGAAAAATAGCTTATTATGGAAAACTTGGAAAAAATGGAAAACATCATCACACTGATGCGAACTTATGCAAATGTTGTTTAGAGGTGAGATGACTCCATCTATAAATTATTAAAGACAATAGCCTTGGTTGAAGCTTAAGGAAACGTGGTTTCGGTGTGCTCTTGTTTTGAAACTAGAACCGCAATTTCTTGCACGTGGACATCGGATTACACATTAAAAGAACAACTGTTATTGGTTGTAAAACAAAGGACACAACACGCGCGCGACCTATTGTTTTCAAAACAATTAAACAACTGACAACTTCCTGAAGTCCGCCAATCAAAAATCACAAAAATATTGCAACATATATTATTTTGGCAAGACATCAAAAAAATTGGTGAATATATTTATACGCAGTTTAATATTTTTTTCGCGGGAACTTTTTTTAGCAGTACAGTGTAAGCGGCCAACAAATTCGTTGAGAAGATCGGTCGTCCAGCGATCGATCTTGCCATGAATTTTACCCCTCCTTGAGGAAGGTTTTAATACAACACTGAAAGCAATTATCGGCGCGAGTGACCTTAACTCTGGCCGTTTTTCTTTGTCGAGCAAGTTACATTCGAGGTTGAAATTTCAAGCAACAAGTTGTTGGCTCGCGGAGCGAGCATTCAAGAATCATTGTCAATCGATTTGGTAAGTTGCATCCTGAGCGCTTTCTCCGATCAAATTCTGAATTTCGACCCATTTTTCCAAGTCTCATCTGAGATGTCGATATCCATAAACAAGCCATCTGCTTTCGAAGTTTTTTTATTTTGATATCCCGAATAGGAAATGAGTTGTCAAGCGGGTCTTTCTTCACAGCCAAAATATATATACAAACAAGCGCAATGCGGTGATATGCCGGGGTGCGATGGACCCAGAAGCCGTTAATTTCAATTTCATTTCCCAACAGCCCACAAAAGAACAAAGTCGGGCTAATGATCTTTCGCCTCTTGACTAAAATAATTTCGAACTCGACCCGTCTGACAATATTTATACCATCTGTTCTTAGATCATTCTGGGGGACTCCAGAAGCGCTGACCATGGATCGAAGCAAGCATGGGTCTGTACACACAAAGTCTCAAGAAAACGAAGTTTGTGATTCATGTGAATTGAGTTCAGCAGATAAGGAGATGTGCAAAGCGATCGGAAGGATTTTGGCAAGAATTGGAGACAGAGTGAACTCTTCACAGATGCTATCGAACGGACGTGGCCTTTACGTGAACTGTCGCAATGGTCATCGTTTAGATGATGATACGAGACCCTGGCCTGGAGTAAATAAACTTCCGTAAACAGCGGAAAAATTTTATCGATCAATTACTTTTGAAAGGTCTATTTCCACGCTAAAATAATTGTACATATTGTATGCAGATTCGTTATGTTATAGATGTCCTGCATATACGTACTTGAGAGAATCATCTAGAACTGCTCGCTTTGTAATTTGCGGCACCAATTTTTATCGTTAGAGCAACTGTTTGAAAGGAAAACCCAGTCTTCGAGAAGCATGTAAATAGTTTTTGATAAAAGCAGAACGAGATAAATAAAATCAGCTGATGAATAGCAATATTTTGGTACTTAGTAACCATGGTAGCTTATTGTTCTCGATTCGCTAACACGCTTCACACAATGGCGTTGAAACACCGAAAACAACAGTGACACTGCACAATCGTTCTTCGTGTGTTGAGCAATGAATGAACCATTGTTTAAAGGCAAAAATCATCCCGCATGCACAGTTGCACGCTTGGATTTTTCCAGAGGAACGAGCTGGTGTTAACAGCCTTGTGTGCGCACAATTTTCAAAGGGCGCGTTGTAAAGTCTGTAAAGGGCAAGGTGACTTCGAAGCCTCCCTTCGTCATGTGTACTCGACATTATTTTTGCGACTTTTTCTGGGCATTTGTAATCAATGCACTGTGACTGATTTGATAATGATCTTTTGGCTGCCCTTAGACAAGGCGATCTTTGTTTTCAAATTTTTAGCTGATTTGCTCACGACGATGAAATTGTTTATAGAATGGGACTTGACTTGAACGTTTAGTCGCTGTTGGGGGCATGGAAGGGATTTTTTATTCTATTTTAGCGTGATTTTCGCTGATTATGAAATGTTATAACATCGTTTTTCATCAATCAAATTTTCAACTCATCGCTTAGGTGATTTCTTAAGATAATATCTCTGTCTAAAACGGGTTTTGTTTTACCTACTTTTTTTATTATTACGTAACAGTAGTAGAAAGACTTTCTTTGCGAGGCCGTCAATTTTTGTCTGGTCACAACTTCTAGTAAACAACTCGTCTCGTGATTGATTACGGAAAATCGAATATCATGGGAAAGTCTTCGGTGACAAATGTTTCAAGAATTTTTTTCTCACACACTTTGACCCCATAGCTTCGTCAAAGTAAAGTCCATTCGATGTTTTTTCTTGTATACACCCACACAAAATAGAAATTTGCTCTTCGTAATTTCGTGTTTTTCTTGGACGTTAAAGAAAGACAAAAAAAAAAATATCCGCTTGGTAAAGAATACCAAGATCGTGTCGCTGTGATGATAGTGGACCCCCACAAGTTTATGATATATATAATAATAATATGGCGTCTCTATTTCTTAATACACTGTAAACATGCCAAGCAAACACCTCCGACAGGGTCACTCAAAACGCGTGTTTATGCTTGTTTGACATGCGCAATGAATGGGCGTCAAAAGCGGGCGAGAAATTTTCGAGAGTAGAGTCTAGGCACAACTGTGACAAGGTGGCAGATTTTTTTGTCTTCGAAGATTTTATAGCTAGATTGGTTGGCGGAAAATGAAAATAAAGACGAAGGTGGAAGTTTGACAATGCGTCATTCTAAATGTTTGAGTTGTGATAACCGCGAAGGGAATTAAAGCATGTTTTCGATTGTCTGAAAAATCAATTAATTCGCGCTCTTAATCTGTCTCATCTTGATCTAAAGATGCATTGGTAAAATTTTATTTCGTTTTTTTTTTTTTTTTAATCATTGTTATTTTTTCAAACAGGTTTAGTTCGGATACAAGAAGTCGCTGTTTTGCTATAATTTATTAGCCAATTTATAAAAGTGTACTTAATCATTTCACTTTAACTATGTAAAATTTTGTTTCCCAAGTTTCTGCCACGTGTTTCAGCATTTCTGCACACATGAAATGTGACATATCATCGACACGCCTTATGACCTCGTCAAATGAAGTCTTTTTTTTTTTTCTGTATCTATTTGCAATAATGATCAGGAACGATCGCTGCATGAAAACAAAATCTCCTGTGTTAATTTCTTTGTCTGTGTTGCTTCCCTGCCTGAGAGAGAAATTAACGTTTCCCACAAGCGACTGCAGATTAAAGCGGCTATCCCCGGGGCCTCGTAAAAGAGGCCTTGGCGAAACGCAAACACGAGAAGCCTGCTCACATTCTAAACAGACGGCTGTGAAAAGATCATTCAACTGCCGATTCTTTTTAAGTTTAAATGCCTGAGGAAATTTCAGTAAAGTCATTGATTTTCATGTTTGATTTGCTTAACGTAATAAATACATTTAATTTTCTTCGCTCCGCGTCCTGAAATCTATTTTCAGATCGAATTTAAGCGGCATGATTCAACCGTGTAATTAGATCTTCTGAGATTACAGTTATGGAAAAATTTTCATCCAAGCGTAATTGCTTTACGTGTTACGTAACACTTGAGAGCCAAATATCAGAATTTGTCGCTGATCGACCCGTAAGCGAAATGTTCGATCATCAAATTTTTTCCGTTTTCCTAAGCAATTTTCAGAATCAAACAGATGTTGTTGTGACTGGCCATGGTAAAAAAAAAATACGCGGGAATTGAATGTCTGATCGACAGATAACGATATGTTGTGAATGCTTTTTTGTACATGCCTCGACTTCGTCCATCTTTTAGAAAGGTGCACGCAAGAGAGATTCAATTTCGCAAAAAACGTTCAAAAGTAAAGGTCTGCATTATAAACAGTTAATCTCAAAATTGATATAACGGAATTCAATATTCCGAAAGAGTGGTTTCCAATGACACTGATAAAAATCATATTTTAACAAAAAGAAACTGTGAAAAGTTTGACATGTTGTTGTAACAAGATAATTATGCAGTAAATTGACGTTGGCGTTGATTAAATTTAAAGAATTATAAATCAGGGTATTAAATATTATTCGGGGTTATTTTTCGCGAGAATTAGGCCCCTTAAAAATAAGTAACTATACTATACAAGGCATAGGCCCAATGAGTTCTCTGTGACTCAGAAATAAAGCATCAGAGCGTAAAATCCGAAGGTCTGAGTTTGCAATCCTCGTTAGAAATGGTTTTTTTTTTTTTTTGTTGGTCCTATGCTCATGAAAAAACTAAACATAGGGCGGAACCATGTTTGCAAACCCTCGTGCTCGCTGGGAAAATCTGCGTAAGGTATGTGGAAACAAGGCCCAGGGCATATTCACTCCCCGCCGACCTCGTTGCGTCATAAAATGGAGAGAAACTCTTGTCGACCCTTCCCATGATACCATGGGACCTTCATCATGACGTCATTTCTCCCCAGTCTGTTATCGGCCCCTTGAACAGAAACTTAATAGAGATGAGAACGAATCTGCGAAGGGGCCAATCACAAATCTCCTGTATACGAGACGTAAAGATCTACAGGACGTTTCCTCTGCGCATGTCTATTGAGGGATGGAAAAAGGACTAGCTCGCAGCTAAAATCTCATCATCAGCTGTAACTTCTTTCTCCATTGTTCAATCATGTCAACTATCAATTAAAGAAACCGTATTTTTCTCAGCTGACTGGATAATTTTTGGCTAGCTTCCACCCGCCATTAGCTCTATCCGGTCCATTTTTCCGCTTTGATTAAAAACGATCTCTCTCCGGATTTCAGAAGTAAATTAAATAGAAAACTCGGACCAAAAAGACAAACACAATTTCGGCGGCATAGATGACAATTTCTATTCCATCTGATCTTCTTTAAATTTTGATTGGTACCAAACAAAATACAAATGAAGCATTTTTTTCAAGTAGGCCAGTCGGTGGTTACATAATTACTTTTGTGTTATTTTTAAACAATTGTATTGTTATATAACTGATAAGCTGTTACTTAATGGCATTAATAGACTTAACCGCGTGATGCGTGGT